CTCTCCCCCTCACTCTTTGCCCCTCTCTCTCTCTCTCTCTCTCTCTCTCTCTCTCTCTCTCTCTCTCTCTCTCTCTCTCTCTCTCTCTCTCTGGCCCAATGAGTCACGCGGTTCTACCGTGCTTCCCTGCCTCACATTCCACGTTCGCACGTCTAAAAGTCGCAGCCAGAGCTGGCAGGTGATCGGGACGGATGCCTCCAGCGATGCACCGTTTGAGGATCGCCCGGTACATCCCACCACAGTTATCATAGACTGCACGATGCTGATGCTTTCTTATGGTTGTGAAGTTCATAACTCGTCGACTTCCTGCAGCAAGGCAACACACTGTTCTGCGGAGCATCGAGTCCAGCTGACGCTAAGAATGCCCAGCAGTGACATGTGGGTCAAGATGCAGGTCAAATTTGTCACAACGCAGCTACAAGAACTGCTCCACACTCCCGGAAGCAGACATATCAGCCAGCTGCCAGGAAGCACATGCCCTCGGCAGCCATGGGCTTGACAATGTACGCTCGAGAAAGCCACCCGCACTTTCTCCTACACCAGAAGGCCTGGCTGCAGGATCAAGTCATGCCCGAAGCCTGCAGCACAACCTTCCGTGAGCCGTTTTCGCCCGATCCCAGGTGCCATCCCGCGATTCCAAGCAGCTGAGGCAAGTCCACTGTACTGGTTTGCCTCCACTGCTCGGCCTTCTTGCGCTGTTATACCCGAAGTCGTCGAGAAGAGATTCTTTGCAAGGATAAGGGAAGAGGAATGTATGAGATCCAGGCGGACGTGCTGGAGACGCCGATGTCCGCGGTGTCCATTGGTGTCCGGTGTCGCGACATCTGAGGCTCTGGGCAATCGTACAACCACAGAAGCCCGCCCCGCAGCAGCATAGAACATCTTCAGCAAGACTAGCAACTCATGCGATTTAAAGCAGCTTAGTGAAATCAGAACTTCCGATCCCCTTGCAGGTGCCGTGAGGCCCTGGCCTGCCAGCTGCCTTTTTTTAACTTTGTCCAGAAGTCTTCCGGGGGCTTTGGAGCAGATCCTGCCTCAGGTTGTGAGTCAAGACTAGTATAGAAGCCTGAACCAATAGTGGGACAACTTTTTCAGGGTCCCTTTCTAGGTCCCCCAAAAAGTACGGCACTCTTACAAAGAGGACCCTAAAAGGAACCCTAATGTAGAGAACTACCCATATGTTATAGGTGTAAATATATTACACCCCAAAGCCCTATTACCTACATTAGGCTCCGTCTTGCCACGTGCGTGCGTGCGTGCCAGAAACTTGCTGCTACGTTGCAAGTACCGGAAGAAAGCTTCCAAGGCCATGGCACTTTGACACACGTTGCAGTCCGGCCTTCTGGCCTCGAAGTGCCTGGTTCTTCGCTTCTAAGGTTCCATGGGTTCGCGAAGAAGATAGCAAAATTCGTCTCGCTCTAGAAGTTGCAAGGCCTCTATGAATGAGCTCAGAATCTCCTCTAAGCGCAGCCAGATGGTCCTCGAAAGGACGCGTGCCCTGGGCAAACAGGGGGCGGCCACTTCAGCCCAGTTAGTTGCGGTGCGGGAGGGGGGTCACCACCCAGATCACGCCCCCGCCCCCGCTGTCCCGAGGGAATCGAGGGAAGTGGGAAGTGGTTCGAACTCGAAGGGTCGAGAGCTTGAAAGCTCGAAGGCTTGAAGTTTGCAAGCTTCAAACTTTGAATGTTTGAAAGGTGCAGGAGTTCGAAAGTTTGGAAACGGTATGCGCATGGCATGGGAGCGTGCGTCAAACTTCGAACTTGTCACGATCTTTTGAGCTCGACCCGCTGCCTCGAACTCAAGCTTCACTTCCAAGGTTTGCAAGTTCGAAAGCTTAAAGCAAAGGTTGGCTTCAAACTCGATTTGCGGCTCACCGCTGAAGTGGAGGGTTTGACAGTTCGAAGGTTTCATCGAGAAGTCGGGAGTCCGAAAGTTTGAGTGTCTAAGAGGTTTGAAGTTCCAACGGCATGTAAGTGTTAGAGTTCGAGGGTTCGACGGTCCGCCGAGTTCCGAGCTTGAAAGTTTGAGAGTCCGAAAGCTTCGTTGGATGACGGCACTTGATCTCACATATTGAACCCGCATGGTCGAAAAGCGATGACGGTAGATCTCATATCTTAAACGGTCCCGGCCTTAGGCCAGTGCTGTTCATCTCATCTCTTCATCTCGTCTCCCCATTAGGCGATGAAGGTTGATCCCATATCAAAATCTTAGACTCGCCGCCTCATGCGGCGATGGCGGTGGATTTCACATCTCAGATCCTCGCCTGCCCTCTCATTTTGTCCGTCTCGTTTGACCCGTCCCCCCATTAGGCGATGGCGATTGGTCTGTCCGTGTCTTAAACCCGCCCGCGCATTCGGCGCGGGCAATGGTCCCACGTCCAAAACAGCAGGGTGGGGTGGGTCGCGGGCGGGCGAGGGGGGTGGATGGGAGACAGGGGGGGTGGGTGAGAGCGAACGCAACGAGACCGAATCGCCACCAAATGCGGAACTCTCCAACTTCTTTACTGACATGGTACGCCGTAGAGATAAGGCCGAAGACGAGGATGAACTACATTCAAACAGCGATCCATAACATCACAAGCCAGCTGCTTCTCGCAACTACACCAGGTGTTTGGAGCGGGCCTGTTGGAAAGATGATATGCAGATGGGACATGCTGCCTGTGCTATCCCTACCGAAAAGCTATGCTACGAAGTTCAGCTACTGACCAGTGAAAGAGAGTGGCTTCAAGAATTGAACTGCATTCAGTTCCCCATGATCGCTGCTTGTTGCTTATCAGTGTTCTGAAGAGCTTCTGGACATGGAATGTCTAGCAATTTTTTGAATGGCCTGCAAATCGAGACAGAGCAGCAGTGCTAAGTTGCCGTTTCGATGTGCAACTGGAGCTAACGAGCTTACATGGTGGCCGTTGCTCAACAGCTTGGCGAAGCAAGATGTTATTTTCACGGCATGACAAATCGGTAGTCGAGCGTCCTTGGTTCGTATGCAGTCGAGCATGGCTCCCTTTCGTTGGAAGGTTCGCAGTGCTGGGCCCCTGATTGAACATGATGACTTCGAGTCCTTTGCACAGTGTTGGCACATGTCAGAAGAGAAAGTGTACCTTACGCACTCAAGTTTTCTTGTCGGACACGCAGGCCAGCAGCCAATGGCGAATAGAACATTCCTTGCTACTGCTTCCATGCGGGCTGGAACACCGCCGCAAACCTGAAGCCTTTAAGAAGGAGGTAGCTTCTGCACTCCTGCCTTGGTCTTTCATCTTAGGCCAAGTCATCTTCGGACTCCTGGGTGCAACGGTTGACTATGCGGCACTCACTCAGAGCAGGATGTGCATTCCCGGGTGGCCCCGGGCCACGTCGCAAAAGCGAGACTGCGTGGGATGGGAGGCATATTGCAAAACGGATGGCAGGCTCTGAAGACCCCCTTGATGGGGTTCTGACACATGGATGTTTTTTTGCTTTGTCACTGTTTGTCGGTGTTGCCCGAATTTGTCAGCAACTTGAAGCATAATGCAAGATTCCACGGGCGTACTGGCCGCTGTTCGGCGATGGTGCTGTAGAGCGCGCGACCACTTCCA